TTTTTATTAAATCAAAGTATAAAAGGTACCCATCAGAGGCCCTATATTGCTACGGCTCCCACTATACCCTGACAACAATGATATAACACCCTTGGCTTTTTCTGAGAGTTAAACAGCCATATATACCTTCCTCTGTTTTTATCTTAACTGCTAAATACGCTTTTATGCAACACACTGTGCGATGTTCCTTAACCAAAGACACTTTTTAGTGCTCAGGGCCAAGACAAAGTGGTACCTATCCTGATGGTATAATTCCTCTTAGAAAACGAAAAAAAAAAAGAAATCCATCATTTCCCTCACTTTGGCTTCTCTGCTAGGAAGATTTGTTTTTCAACAATTTGAGACTTTCTCATCACTGATCTCTTGATATGCGCCCCTAGCCCCATAGCCCTCTACATGACTTGGAGAAGAGGTGGCAAGGGATGGCACTGGTGCAATGAGAAGCAACACAGGGAGGAGCTAATTCTCCTGCACAGCACTAATTCCCAACGTTACAGCACTCTATCCTGAACAAGTTTTCCCTTGCAGCATGCAATCTTCTAAAAAATCCTGTGTGGTAACTGTTATTATTATTTCCATTATTTCAATCTAGAAACTGTGTCTCAAAGAGGTTTAATGAGTTGACAAGAATAAAGTAATCAGTAAGCGATGAAGTCCCTTTTGCCTCAAAATTCTATGCCTTTGGCATTTCACTGTGTTCGTCTGATATAAAATATACTCCGGTGTGTGAGCTCAATCTTTGAAGAGTTTTATAAGGAAAAAACACTGAATACAAATCCCCTCCCTCCCTGCCTATATTTTCACTAACTTCATTCCATTTCCTGAATGTTCCCACATTTTTGTATCCAGGACATTTTTCCAGAATTACCTGTTACAAAATAAGTAATCCCATTTTTAATGCAGTAACACCATTTTCTACAAAGTGCAAATAATTCAATATGTCCCCCTATCTCTAAGGAACATAATTTCTCCTTTATCATCAAGACAGGAAAAACACTCGAGGTTTACAATCAGTAGAATTCATTTGTTAGTGCTGATGGTAAAAGTGGAAAATAGATGTTTCTACCACTTTACTTACCATATATATCTAAGACATGAATTAACTATAACAAAAGTTATAGTTAATAACTATATTAACTATAGCCTGTTTTGCTGTTACTAATTGCCAATAGCAGTGTTAAGTCTACCAGAAACTACATGTAGCTCATCTTGTACGTCATTGATTTTGACACTAACTTGGCACATCAGACCATAAAGCTCACTGAACTCTTCATGAGTGTTTATCACAGGAAGACTTATACTGACCACACAATCTTTTTTTAATTAAATAGTTTGTAATTTCAGATCTAGTTATGAGTCGGTATCATTCCACATTTCAAATCAAATATAAACTCATAATATTATTTTACTGGATTTTCAGCCACATTGTTCATAAAGTAACCAAATATATCTCAGTTATACTACTTAAAATAGCATATCGTTTAATAATAATCTGGTATGTTCTAGTGTGTATTATACTCTTGATGTAGTCAATGTCTTACCTCTGTTCTTAGCTCATGGATCTCTTTATCCTTGCTATTTTGAGATTCTGATCCTTCTTTTACATCTCCTGATA